ATCTCCACAGTTAAAACAGCAACAAAAACAAATTTTAAAAATCTTTAAACAACCTCTAGATGCCTCAACCAGAAATTCTGATTAAACAGGGCATAAGGTTCAGTGGTTCTTACTGCTTCCAAGGTGGTTATAATGTGCAGCTGAGAGGCACTGATCAATGTGGGGAAGACTGGTGCTTCCATTACCTGAGAGAAAAAGAGTGCTGCTTTTACTTTTCTATCATCTCTACCATGGGAGGGGAGAAGACTAAAGATCACAGTAGAATTCTTCCACTTATAATGTGAACGAGGCCTTCTCATTATCGACCTGAATAAATAAATGGCTCTTGGGGTTCACCCTCTGGTCTTTTCTCTCCTGAATGTGCCTGATGGGATGGGAGGATGCTGAGGACATGGCAGGAACCAGTCTGGACATCCTGGCACGTGTCACACAATGGCTGCTGACATCAGGTGCATGCACTTTGATCCTGGTAAAGTGAGACCACCTGTGCTCTGAATGAAGCAATGTCTATGTGCTCAAGATAACAGTTAGCCTGGGGTGTGCTCAGAAATAAAACACACCTGAAGATAACATGTTTCTTTGCATTGTTAATGTAATATACAAAACAGAATATTGAAAACTGGGAAAACCCAAGGTGCATAGTTAGGAAGGGCAAAGCTGGAGTTAGCAGAGTCTGGCCAACCTGAGAGATGTAGTTCACACGACAAGTCTGCATACAAGCACTCAATGCCAGTTGTGAAGTCGTAAAAGTTAATCTCAGCTATCATTCATTCATGCCACACATATTTATTGAAGGTGTCTGTGTTTAGAATGCCATTTCAGGCTCCATTTTCAAGATAGTAAATAGTATATATGGTGATGCGTGTCTGTAATCCCAGCACTCTGGGAGGCTAAAGCAGGAGGATAGCAAGTTCAGGTTCAAGCCCAGACTGGGCAACTTAGCAAGACCCCCCCACACACACACACACCCCACACACACACCCACCCACACACACACACATGGGCTGGTGATATAACTCAGTGTGGAGGCCCTGGGTTTGATCTCCAGAACTGCAAAACAAATAAGAGAATATATAAAAGCTTCCTGTTCATTTCTACAGCATTGAAAAATAATTCATGTACAAACATAAACCTAATAAGATTTAAAATCCTGTAACTGTTCCCCGATGACAAAATCCAAAATCAACACTTCAAAACATATGTAATGTCACACACTTGTTAAATGGAATAGTTCACATTATTCTAGATTTTCAACAATAAACATACCTTGAACTCAAAGTTGAATTTCATGAGTTTGGCTCTGTAGAAATATGTTGAATATTGCAAAAGTATCTTCAATTCAGAAATTTGATGTTTGTTGAATGGCTGTATGGATGGAAAATGGAAGGAGAAATGAGTAAGCTTGGTAATAGGGATGCTTGGCAATGTTCTAAAACACTAGAAGTGCAACTTTATGGGCTGAGGGTATAAAGTAGTAGAGCTGTTGCCTAGCACATGCAAAGGCCCCAACACCACAAAATAAGCATCATCTTTTTTAAAAATCAGGGTTTTCTAATTCATTGATTCAGGAGAAATTTTTGTTTTTAAGTAATTTTTTACTTGACAAGTAAAAATTATATACATTGTAGAATGGTTAAATCAAACTATTACCTACATTCCTTCATTACTGTTTTTTAGAATGAAAACTCTTAAAATCTACCTTTAGCAATTTTCTATAACATCATATTACCCAATCATTATTAGTCATCATGATATGTAAAAATTTTTATTTCTACCATTTCCATGGACTACATAACTTTGAGCAAGTCTTTTTTTTTTTTTTTTTTTTTTGTGGTACTGGGGATCGAACTCGGGTCCTTGTGCTTGTGAGGCAGGCCACCGAACCACTGAGCTAATCCTCGGCCCCAGCAAGTCATTTTGGTACCCATTTCTTCATCTATTTGTTGCAAGGATTAAATGGGGTGAATTACATGAATTATTTAGCACCCTGCCTGAGACATGTTAAACAGCATATTTGAAATCACCTTTAACTTGAAGTAATATATGGAAAAGCAAAGATTAAAACGATATTAAAAACAATACAGCACAAAATAAGTCTTTATGGAAGTGTTTTCTTCTATTATTCTTAAAGATCTCTAAGTAAAATTAAGGTTTTGGCAGTTGTTTAAGAGGGAAGGTTTACAAAACAGTTTGAGTCAGAACCAAGTGAAATAACATAAGTATTCTGGCTAAATTCCAGTGTGACTAACATTCTCCAACTTCAAGTGATTATTATTATCATTAGCCAACACTTGTCCTTTCCCAACATGTCGCAAACTGAAAGGGCGGCCCTGGGCACGTGCACAGGCGCATAGGCTTCCTTCCGCAGAGGCTTCCCTTGGTGGAGGCCTGTGCACCCCAGTTCTCCAGCTCCCACTACCTTCAACTGCGATGCTTGCGGACCAGGTGCCAAGCAGTTCCCCCAAACAAAAGAACTAAAAGATGATCATCTGTAGAATTTCAGGGAATGGAAGATGCGATGTACCTTTTAAACATCACGAATGCTTATGATGTCTGTGTAGTGATTGGTATGTATTCCTTTTTAACTTTGAGGATGGGATTAATACACATAGTCTATATTTCCCACAAGCTCAGCTGATGAGCAGGACCGAGATGGCTCTTCTGCAACTTAGTCTCCCAGTGTGAATACATGGAACCCAGAAAATAGACAAAAACTCGCAATGGGTCTCGGCCACTAAGTCCAGACCTGAATCTTTCAAATGTCTCAGTCACTGCCTATTTCAAAGCCTTTTTCTCCTAGTGGAAGGAGGGGAAGGGGGGGAATACAATTAAACCGTCTTGGTTAGCACGCTAAACACCTGTCTTCTAACCTAATTACAACGCAGAAAAGAGGCATTTGTAGAACATTTAAAACCTGCAGCCTAACAACCCACTTGGAGGGCGCCCTGCGTGATTCCGCTGCCGGGCCTATGCTCCGGGCGCCGCCAGCCCCCTGCGGTGCGCGGGAGTCGGGATTAGCAGCTGGCAACCCGGGGGCCCGGCTGGGACAGAGCCCTGAGCCCGGCTGCCTGTGAGCGATTTCGGACCTGCCTGGGATTAGAAAACTCGCTGATAAGAACTAACATTCCTGGAGTCTACCAAAGTCAGAAACTCATTTTGTCACAGCAGCAAGATGTGATTACGAGATTCAACAGTAAAGGTCGGGGCCTGGGGGCTATGGGAGATCTCGGGGGGAGGGATCAAGGCACAGGCGCTGCCAGCTGCCTGGTGCTCGTCCCGGGCTCGCCGTGCGTGCCAGTGTGCCAGGAGCCAGGACACTCGGGGAACAAGACAGTCGAGGCCTCTGATTTATACGAGCTCACTCTCCTGGGTCAGGCTGGTAAAGTTGCGTTTCCTACCTGCAATGCGTACTTGCCTCGGAATTGTAAGCGTTTCGGGTCTTGCATTAATGACGATTAATTACTGTTGAGCATACAGTAGGGGTTACGTATTGTCTCTTCTTTACCCAGTGCAAGCGCGTAGAAGGTGGACAGGTGGCACTGCAGTTCTTGTACACACACGCTGACCTCTAAGTGTTAGGACGCAGAGAGGAGCAGAGCTTCTCAGCTCTCACGGGATAGCAGGGGAGCGAGTACAGTGGAATCGGTGGGACTTCAGGCCCGGGATTCCCGCCCGGGTTCTCAAGGCGGTGTGATTAGCATTCTCCCCACCTCCGTCATTTTCCCGTCCGCGATTGGCCCGCGCTGTTTAGCGGCCAGTTCCGGGCGGGGCCAGAGGGCGCCAGGGGAGAGGCCGAGCCCTGGGGGCAGTGGGCGGCCCGAGCGAAATCTTGGCTCCGCAGC